CACCCACTCTGCCCTCCCGTCCGCCCCCCCCCCCAAAAAAAAACAGGACGCCGACGCTGACTACGCGGCCCTGGAGCGCGCCGTGCTGGCAGAGCTAGGGCTGCACCATTTGATGAGCGCAGCCCCAGGGCCGCCAGGGGACGGCGGTGGCGGGTGACCCGCGGCTCGGCGCGACTGGCGAGCTCTTGGGACGGCCGCGCCCCCTGTGCACGGCTGCCACCTGCAGGGCCCGCAGCCCCTAATCGGCGCTGAAAGAGGCGCGAGTTCAAGCCCTGGGCCCTGACGATGCTATGCGTGTTGAGGCTGACAGCCACCTTTTGTTCCTGTTGGTGTGTACATATAGTGGTGTGTTGGATCTCTGCATCGGTTTCGCTCTTGCTTCTGCAACCCTGCGCAGCCCTGGCTTTTCTGAGTCATCCATACTCAACCGTGCTTTGGGATGCGTCGCTGCGGCTGAAATACGCCGCGTAGTTGTGCTGTGTCGCGTGCTAATTTTGGTAGCAAACAGACCAAGATGGGTACAAGAGATGCAAGTTACTCCCCGGCTGAGCAGAAAGGGGCGAGCGCAGAGCGAGCGCGTGAGCCGCGCCCGGCGGCTCGTCTGAGGTGGATTCGACGCCGTGCAGTGAGGGCGTTTTGGCGTGGCGACGGGGGACGGAGCGAGACGGCACAGTGTTCGTGCGAGCTGAAGGGTATAAGCGAGGTGGATGGGGAAACCCGAGCGGAAGAACAGAGAAAGGACGTTTCCTTCAAAGGCACCCATCCGCAGCCGGCAGGCATAATCTGCTGGCCGTGACAAAGTGCGCCGCGGCCTCGCATGCGCTGCGCGGGCGTGCAGCTGGGTGGCGGCCTTGTGGAGAATGGAGCGGGCGGTATATGTATGTGCACAGGCGGTCCAACCGCGCACACGCGCAGCACCGCGATCCAATGCGAGGTGGCCGTCGCGTGGGCGGGTGCGGCCTAGGCAGCGGCGAGGGCGCCGGTCCCTGCCATCGTTGGTGCCGCCGCGCGCCGCGCACTTGGCGCGGGCTGTGACGGGCTTGGGTTGCACGCGATGGTGTGCTGATCGAGTGCCAAAAGAACACCACAAGAGATTTTGAAGAGAATGCGTGCCCCGTCCCTCCGCTGCTCAAAGTCAAAGTGCAAGTGATGGTGTCCAGACGGACTGCGGCGCCTCCTGGATTGGCCGCAGGCAGCATGATGCCGGCCCCTTACGCGCGCAACGGCGTCGCCCTGCGCTCTGGCAGGGGCGCCCTGCGCGAGGCATCATGTACAAATTGGCAAGTGCTCCTGACCTGGCAAAGGATTTTCATGCAGACCAGGCCCTTGCAGCCGTGCGCGCGCACGGCACAACTCAGCCCAGCCGCCGCAATTGAGAGGCCGAGCAAATCCCAAGGTTGCCTCGCCTGGGCGCGCGCCCAAGTGCAGGCGGGGCGCCCCGGAAGGCGGGGTGGCGGTGAGACCAAGAAGTGACCGCCTTGCAACACATCTGCCAAATCAATGCACATCAATCGGCCTGCGGGTGACATGGAGCGGATACACGCCCCAAGCCCCAATACCTCCTTGCCACACGAGCACGAGCACACAAGCGAGGGGGGAAAGGCAGGTCACCGCCAAGGCAGAAGCGGTTCAGCCTGCTGCGCGGCCCACAGGGGCGGCTGCAGGACTGGAGCATGCGCCTGCGGGCCCCACAGCGACGCTGCCTGCAGCGCCACCCGCTGCTGCATTTCGGCCACAGCAGATGCATGCTGCTGCTGCTGCTGCTCCAGGAGCAGGCGCAGCATCTGCTGCAGCTCCGCCTCTTGCTGCTGTTGCTGTTGCAGCTGCTGCATGTGCGCCTGCAGCGGCGTCGGCGCGCTTGCCGACGGAGGCACGGCAGCAGCAGCCTGTGCAGCCTGTGCGTTGCAGCCGAGGCTCAGCTGCGCCAAGCCACAGAATGAAGTGTCGAGCTGCGGCCTGGCTGGAAGGCGCGCGGACGACGTCACTTGCTGCTGGTGGTGCTGCTCGCTGGCTAGGCGCTGCGCTGAAGCCAGCGCGGCCTGCTGCCTCTGCCGTGACGCCGCAGCCGCGAGCGCAGCCGCCTGTGCCTCGTGCCACTGCGCGGGCAGCCTCTGCGGCCGCGGCTGGGGCGGAGGAGGCGCCACCGGCAGCGGGCCCGGCGCACGGGGCAGCGCCTTCTGCTCCCCGGCCGCGGCGCCCGCGCCGCCCGCGCCACGCGCGTCCGCCGCGCAGTCGGCGGACGCGCACGCGACGCACGCGAGGGTCACCGCAAACGCGGCGTCGACGCCGGCGGTCACGCTCAGCCGCACGGCGCCGGGCGCGGCGGGGTGCGGGGAGGCGGAGGCGAGCAGGCGCTCGCTGCGGCGGCCGGGCATGTGCTGCAGGATCTGGAAGGTGTGGGCGGCCCAGTCACCGGAGATGATGATGCCGACATAAGGAAGCCCCCGCAGGGCGACCTTGATGCCTGAGGGTTTGGGTGGTGGTATTGGCGAGAGGGGGTGCGGCGCGGCGCGTCAGAGACTGGGGGCGGTGATGGTTGGTTTGGCTTGACGCGTGCTTGGGCTGGCGGGCACGTGTGAGGGTGGCGTGGCGGACGTTGGCCGGAGGTGCACCAAAGCGTGAGCCGGGTTCCTGCAGGTCCCACTGTGTTGGTCCCGCCCGCTGGTTGCCCGCGTCGTTGACGCCAGGGCGCCGGACTGCGCCAACAGCACAGGATTCATGTCAACTGCGGAGTCTGGAGTGCGACTCACATGGCTGGCCCCGCAGCACGGCCGTCTTCGCGCTGCCGACGCGGCTGCTCGTCACGCAGCGGCCGCCGCTGTGCAGCCGGAACGCAGAGCCAGGGGAGCAGCTGGGCGCGTGGTCAAAGGACGACACGTCGGCGCCGGCGGCGTTGCGGAGGCGGGCCTTGGCTTTGGGCGTGCCCGCGGCGCGCGCCTGCAGGGTGAAGAGCTGCTGCTGCTGCTGCTGCTGCTGCTGCGGCTGCTGCTGCGCCGCCAGCGGCGTCGCGGGTGCAACAACGGTGATGGCCGCGCCCTCCTCAGTGCCGCATATGGGGATATCAAGAATCAGGGGGGCCGCATAGCAATGCGCAGGCCCAAACACTGCGTGCGGCAGGAGGGCGGGTGGGCCGCGGCCGTCGGAGGGCAGCCATGCATCCAAGGGAGGAGTGGTTTGGGCTGCGGCCACGACTGTTGATGGGTGCAAAACTGCCATGCTCGTATGGGGCGCCTGGACGCCCTCCTGATTGCTGATTGGGCTATCCGGTTAGGGTTCACAAGGAAGGATGCCACAGAAATCTCCCTGGAGGACCCAAGTCCGGGCCGCCGTGCCCAAACAGACTGATGACGGCGCCTGCATGAAATTCCGGGAAGCGGGCTGACACCGCTCGAAGCAGGGGCTGTAATTGTATTATTACCTGCAAATGATCCGGTTTCGGGGACGGCCGAGGGCTTGAGAGCGCCATTGTGAGTGTCGTCCGAGCTGCTCAGACTACTGCTGCTCTCGGGGGTCCGGGGAGTACCCGAGGTGTCGGAGCAGTCGCTAGAAGAGCGGCTGAGCGTATGACACTGCATCGCAGCGGCTTGAGCAACTACAAAGGCTTGTCACCCGTCTTATTCGGTGGGGCGGGTGGAAAAGTTTAAAGCTGTGTTGTTTAGGTTAAGGAGGCGTTGCAGCGTGTAAAAAGACTTTCTCATGAAGAAACACCAATTGAATGTCTGGCGTGTAGGCCAGAAGCCAGCATTCCATTGCGCGCTGAAGTGTGACATGTGCCCACTGCCCGTGCCCAAGAACGAGGCGAACCCACACCCACCCACCAGGAATCTCACATGCAGGAAGCAAGTGCAGTGTAAAGGGCTGCATTACTGATAAAATCAAGCTGATGTTAAAGCCCTTTGATGAGGCATGCCGTCTGCCAGCCGGACTGCACATGACAGCGAACTTCAATTAGGCCGAGCTGGGGCAGGTTCTGCCTTGTTCACCCTGGCGGCCTGCAATTCGCTGGGCTGGTAGGCAGCGCACGGCATTGAGGGGCGCAAAGTTTTTATGCAATTAACGCCTCAAGCGTGTCAGAACCCTGCCCTTGAAGGTGGCCAGAGACGCAAGGCTGTCCACCAGCAAAACTGTGACGAAATCAAAATCCCTCTTGTTGTGCCGGCCCCCGAGGTTGTTGGCCTGTTGTGAGGAAACATGCAGGCACTAGAGCTCCCAAGTAATGCTCCTTCAATCATGTTTACCGGTTTCTAGAGTATGTGCGGAGTGTAGAAAGCGCTGCCATGCTCCGGCCCGAGCGCGTTGGCCCAAAGTTTGTACCACAGTTGGTTTGTGCCGATACACAAGGGAAACGGCTGCCAGCCCGCAGCGACACCACATTCCCCCTGACTGAAACAGAACAGCTGGTTGGTAGACCATAGACAACAGACATGCTATCTGCACAGCAGACCATAACGTCGTTTGCGTCAACACTTCACTTTATTCGCCTCTCCGCCGCCCGTGCCCCACCGCTAGCTAGTTCGAGGCTTTGTGTGCGTGCCGCGCGCCAGGGTGACCCCAAGGCCGACATCTGCCCATTCATCTTCTGTCAAGTATTAAGCGGATCCCAGCCTCCAGGATTAAGCTTGTTACAGCCTTCAGCAATCGTCCGCTTCTGCAGCCATCCAGGCTTGTGTGGTCAAACTCTGCACGTCAAGGTTGCGCGCCACAAGCTTTGCCCCAAATGATCGCATGGAATGAAATGTCATGTGGCTGCAGGTGTCATGTCGGACATGCGACAACCGGCTCGTGATGTCCTGTTGTGCGGCCGCAGGATTGGGCCACGCACCCAACGAAAATGTCCAGCACAGAGAGCTTTCATGGACACGCATGGGACCCACCCCGTCAAAACCTGCATTGTAAGCGTGATGATAGGCGGATGGTGTGCGATGGCATGAATGCATGCCATTGCGACCTCTGCGGGGTGCAGAAGTACCACAGCAGCATGACACAACTCGGTCAACCTTGACTCAGTGACGCAGCGCTAGGTGCAAGGAGGGGTTGTCCAGAGGCAACCCATGCGTGGTGTGTAGATGCATGTGCCAAATTTCAAGTTTATGATAAATCCCAAAAAATAGGTCTGCTCTAGCAGGCCGTGTGCCTGCTCGATGAATGTTCCCAAGCTCCAGGAGGATCACCGGGCACGGGTGTGCAGCAGCGTCAGCACGCAGTTCAGCGGCCACGATACTGCGTCGGCCAGTGTCGTATCTAGAGGTCAGGTCATCGCAACGAAGCTTTTCCATGTAATTGTTATGTAACATCACAGCAAGATTGCTCAGATCAGAACAGAACGCCAGCCGAAATGGCTCAGTCGGACGATGTATTCGATGTCCGCAAGTGGATGAATACGCGCTCGCGACTCACAGATCCTGTGCCGGTCACGCAACCGAAGCAGCTGACGGTTTGGACCAAGACATCAAAGCGAGACCAAGGCGGCCGCTTCTTGTTCGGCGACACGTCAGGTGGGTTGTGCAGCAGGCCACAGCTGGGGATTGTGAAATCATTGCAGGTAGCAGGAGCCTGAACACAAAGCAGATGCTGCTCCGTGGCCCTTGCTATACAGCATGACAAAGCCCAAACCGCACCAGATACAGACGAAGCCCAGACCGCACCTGATGCACGCAGTTCCCCACCATGCACCCGTGCCCCTGCCCCTGTCCCCAGGCCTGTTGACGTTCCAGCAGCCGCAGCTGCCTGCTGACTTGAACGCCGGTTTTCCTGATAAATACATAGCAAAGGAGGAGGGCGAGGCATCCCCTGTAGACACCATTGTTCAAGCAGCAAGCATCGCAGGCGTTGACTGGGGGGTACGACGCCCCGCTCGCGCCCGCTGGGGCGTCCCAAGGCAATGCATGCCGTGCGAGGGTACAAATACACACAGTGCCGGCACCGCCGGTCCCCCCCCCCCGCACGGGCTACCGCAAGCCCTTCTTCACCCATCGTTTGCGGCCGTAGTTAGACGACCTTGCGTCCGCGGGCACCACCCTCCGGTCTGCCTTTCCCTTCTGGAATTCAAACTTGTCACGCCGTCGCACTGAGCAAGCGCGCCCTTCCCTATGCTCTATCCCCTTGATCCGGCAGCCCGTTAACGTGGTGACATACCGCAACAACCTCAACAAAGTACTGCTGACACCCCTGGGCGGTCGCGACGCGTGGACGATCGACGCCTGCCTACTGGTGCGTGTCGCGGCATGGCCGAGCCCGCCGCGCCGGCGCTCTCCCTGTTGCCCCAGCCCTCATGCTGTTGACCTTTCCTCGAGTGACCAGCGCGGGGCCTGGGCTGAGTGATAACACAAGGGGTCTCCGCACAAGAGGTCCCCCCCATCGCTTCACAGTCAGTGTCACCACCCCTGCCCCCCTTGCCTGCAGGGGGGCACGCTCTTCCTAGACATCGTCAAGGCGGGGCAAGACAACAAGACCTGGCCGGACCAGGACCGCATGTGCTACTACGGCTACAAATTTGAGGCGCTCTGCACTGGTGGGAGTTGTGTTGCTGCCCTGAGCGGCCGGGCCGGCTTGCGCCCTTTCACTCATGTTCGTGATGCACAGGTTCTTGTGGGTGCGCACGCGCGCGGACCCCTGTGAAGTACTGTGTGCACACGCTCTAATACATGTGTGTGTGTGCATGCGTGCGTGCAAGTTGCCGAGTGCACATGCTGAGTTAAGCAGGTGTCCAACCACCCTCCCCACCCCCATTGTCATCCCGATGGTACGCACGCACAGGCGCGAGCCTGCGCACGCGCACAGTCGCGCGCGCACACACACACACACACACACATACACACACACATACACAGGTGACCTGGAGGAGGTGGATGCGACCAGCGAATTTGCAACCGTGGTGCGCTACAAGCTGGGCCGCCACCGCGTTGTCATGGCGGCAGAGATCGACGCGGCTGCGGCACCAACAGGCGGTGCCGGGGCACCGGGGCAGCAGCAGCAGCAGCAGCAGCAGGAACAGCGACCGCAGTACGTTGAGTTGAAGTGCTACAAGATCCCGGGGCATCCGCGGGCGGAGGCAAACATCTACAGCCAGAAGCACCCAAGATGGTGCGGGTGGGGCTGCATTGGGAACAGCCGTTGGGGTCGTCTAGCCGGCGCACTGGCCTTCCAGAGCGGCCTAGGCAGCTGCATGTGACATGTGCCAAAATGCAATTGCCTAACGCTTGAAGAATGGTCTCTGTGATTGCATTACCGCGTGTGTCAGGCCTCAACAGCCGGCGCGTGGCCACAGATGGCACGAGCTCACTCGCATCCCCGGCTGCGTGCTCCCCGCCCCCCTTGGCCGCCCCCAGGTGGGTGCAGTCGTTCCTGGCCGGCGTGCAGCAGCTCGCCCTCGGCGCCCGCGACGACAAAGGCACGCTGGTGCGGGTCCACACGGTCGCGGTGCAGGAGCTGCCAGAGCTGTCCGCCCGCGCCACGCAGCCCTGGGACGCGAACATGCTGCTGCGCTTCGGGGACGAGTGCCTTTCGTGGATGCGGGAGCGCGCGGCGCGCGCGGGCGAGGGGGCGCAGCTGCGGTTCGAGCATGACCCTGCGCGGCGCGTGGTGGCGTGCCGGGAGGCGCCGGGCGGGGCGATGGCGGCGCGGCTGCGGCGGCTCTTGCCGTTCGCGGGGGCTGCAGAGAACGTGGCGGGCGGCGGGGCCGAGGTGGAGGTTGCAGGCAGCAAAGGGGAGCCGCAGCAGCAGGAGGCCGGCACTTGAGTAACGAAAGAGTTCAAAGCATCTGATACAGCCGCCAGCACCAAATGCAGTTACCATGCAGGTCGGGCACTACGTGAATTGGGTGCAATCGTGCAACGGGTTGACTGTCTTGACCTCCAGATGCCTGATCGAGTCTGGTTACCGTATATCATATCGGGTCTGTCTGATGCAACGGATTCAAGCTCATTGTAATACACGGGCAACCAAGTGCAAGGCGTGCGTGGCTCAGTACTTCAGTAGTGCAAGCCAGTTCGATCTCGAGATCTGGTGGGCAACATTTCTCCGTACAGTACGTTGACAATTGCAGATGCCTGATGAGTGACATATGCTCGTTAGCGTCGTGTGTCGCTGCTCCACAACTCCCCCTTCACAATCCACAGTGTAAAATGGATCTTCACAGCCCAGCAGCGCGGCTAGATCCTTCTTCAAACACCAGCATGCCCACTGTCCCACAGTGAGAGCGATCAGCTGGGGGCCCTGCTGCGTCGCCGGCGTCTTGCGTTCCCGCCGCTGCTGACAGTGTCAGCAGACCCCACATGCCGCCCGCCCCCTGCATCGCCGCACCGGCCCACAGGGTTGCTGACCAATGCTTCCAAGAGCTCGAAGCACAAGTGATCGACAGCGGGCAAGGTGATCCTTGAGCTGTCATACAGACCGGTGCTCCGTTTCTGTTGCAGCAGGCTCCCTGCAGTGGCTGCTGTGTGTGGCCGGCGATGCGTGCTTGTCGAGCTGCCCCCCAATAGTGCGTCAAACCCCTCCCATGCCATCGCCTGCGCAGTCGCTGATACAGACCTTGTCAAGTGAGTAGGGGCGCCGTTGCCCCCCACGTGCAGCCGCGCTGCCACCCGCGCAAGGACTGTGGCGAATTCCTCCACCTGCACCCAGCAACTCGCCGCTGCAACACAGCGAAGCCCACAGCCCCACTAGGCAGAGCTACGGCTCGAGCACCCCCCCCCCCAAAAAAACCCCGCCGCCGCTCCCTTCCCCCTCCTACGTGCTCAGGCTGAGCCTGCTGCTGGGCCGGAACTGGTCAAAGGCGCTCCAATTGGTGGACCAGGGCGCGGTGCACTGCTTCCAAGGGGACGCCAGCGGGCGCCGGGTCTTCCAGGTCGGGGCCGCCTTGTTTGGACTGACTTTCCGCACCCGCCCCGCCCCGGCCCCAACAGCACACTCGCGCACCAATAGCGCACGCCTGTCGCGAGGCGCCGCGACACACCCGAGCGAGGCCGCCGCAGGCAGGCGGCGGTCCCAACACGCTACGCCCCTGCACGCACGCGAGCCTCGAGCCGTTGCCACCCAGCTATGCCCCCAGCCCCGCCGAGGCCCTGCACTCACGCGAGCCTCGAGCCCTCCCCATCCCGCTGCCCCCCGCCGAGCGCGCCGCCCCGCCCTGCCCTGCCCCGCCCTACCCCTGCTCGCCGCGCCGCCGGCCAGGTCCACGGGAAGTCGGGGCAGCACATGACCCTGCCGCGGCACTACTGCTCCTGCCAGGCCCACCACTTTGAGGTTGTTTGCAAGTCGGAGGCCCCATATGTGAGCCGCCCCCGATGCGCCTGCTGGGGGCCCAGGCAGCCCGGGAGCGCACACCAATGATGCCCCTCCTGTGTGGATTCGTAGCGCGTCGCGCCGGCTGCGTCGGCCAGCCCCCCGAGTAGACCGCTCTGAGAGGCGCGAGCGCTCGGTCTTCTGCCCGCCCGCACGTCCCTCCGGCGCAGTGCAAGCACCAGCTGGCGGCGCGGCTGGCCTGGATACTGAAGGCCTGCCCCGTCACCCCAGTGGATGACGGGATCCTGGCCAACATGCTGCTGGAGGCGTGATGACCGGTTGGGCGGCGCCGCCGCTGCAGCGCCCTCTGCCTTGAAGGTTGGTGCCGGCCTGTTCAAGGCTACCCGGTTTGGGGCGCCTGCTGCGGGACGCACCGCCGTGTTGAAGTGCTGTCGCCCCTCTGTGTTGTGCTCGATGCATGTTCGGAGCCCTGCCCTGAAAAGGACGCCGCACGTTTGCAGGCTTTGTTACAACAACGGCCCGCAGCAGTAAACTGCAGTTGGGGGGCCACGCGCCTGGCAGCGCCGCCAATAAATGGCGGCACCAATCAAGGCCGGCCAGGCCGCCCGATCCAGCAACCAACACCCCAAAAAACAGGCCTCTTGCGTCACGTAACTGGCTGGCGCGACCAGCCGCATGGCATGCAGATAACAGTGCTGTGTAAGTGGTTCTCACCATGCGCAGTTTTCCGGCCCGCTCTCCTGCTGCGCTGGGCCATGCAAGGCTGCGCGGTACTGCTCCTGCCAGTGTCTCGTTCCACCCCACAAATCCCGAGTGCCTACGCAAAATGCAGCAAAGCACAGCAATCGGCAGAGGGGCAGACGCAACCCGCCTGCATGCAGTGGTTGGGGCGCAAGGCGCGTCACTCAGAAGCAGGCCCAAACACCAGATGCAGGAGCCTGATAGTGGGAGCTGATGATATGCGACGGCTCCGGGCGTTGGGACCCTGGGCTGCACGAATCCTCCGACTCACGTTCGCCGCGTTCTGAGGCGTCGTCGCCGGTGTGTGCGTGGGCGGCCGCCCGCGGCACAAGTTCGTTTGTGTTCAGGCATCCCCTCTCGGGGTTCTCGGATGCGCATAAAAAGCACTGCACGGGCACCCTTGATGTCACAGGCAAGTGCAGGATGAACCGGGCGTGAGCTGCGGCGCAGGCGCAAGGCCAAGAGCACAGAGATGCGGAGTTGATAAGGCTCTGCTTGGCAGCACGGCACGCGGCAGAGGCTGAGGCTGTACACATCAGATGCCAGTACAGGTGCACAGCCGGGTGATTATGATTTGAGCACGCCTGTTGGATTATATGGGGCTGCTCATCAGTCATCACAGGCCGGTGGGTGCACACAGACGCGCGCCAGCACAATCCTCCAGCATTATGCACAGGCACTCGTGCGCCCACAATGCATTCGAGGCACGCAAAACGCCGGGCTTGCAGCAGGGGGGCATAAGCCGCCAAGCCCAGCAGACAGCCAGAAATAACGAAAAAGGGCAGAGACACACTGGAAACAGCAGGCCTGCCTATCAGTCAATGCTTTCCAGGCATCTAGACTCGCCGCCCATCTTGCCCATCGGGCGGGCGGGCGGTTTGTTTGGGCGTGTGTGTGGCAATTTTATGAAGCACCAGCGGCAGTGCGAGGGCGCGAGGTGGGTCTAATTCCTCTATCGGTAGGGGGCTGGCCACTGCCAGAAAAGCACTGCAGGGAGGAGCGGGGCGGCCAGGTGGGGCGGCGCAAGGCGAGGGCGGCGCAAGGCAGCTGTTGTTTTCAGGCATGCAGGCAGGGGGGACGCAGGACACGGTAGTGCAATGGGTTCGAGCATGCAGGCAGAAGGGGCACAGGCGCTGGGTGGTATCAGGTACAATCAGCCGCGGGTCATGGGGATGTCGTCACCAGAAGCTGGGCGCGAGGTGTGCACACACAAACAAACGCGCTTGGCCAGGAAGTTTTGAGCGGGGACAAGAAGGGCGCGTATGGGGTAGGAGGAGGGGTCAGGCCGGGGCGGCGAGGGCGTGCCCCGCCTTTGCTCCAGACAGTCAAAGACCGGCTCAGGCTGCGACGCGAGGCACTCCCAAATGGTGCCACGCGCCGCGCCGCGCTGCACTGCACTCCTGCGAGTGGGTCTGCATTGCACTCCTGCGTAGGCACGGCATTGCACTCCTGCGACCTGCCTAAGCTAGCAAGCAAGCTCTGCCGGAATACACACGTATAGGCTACAGTCAGCTTTTATGACGGAGCGGAGGGTCGACAGCAGGACCGCAGGCTCCCGCCACAAAATCCACCGAAAAGGTGGGGGCAGCAGCAAGAGGACACGCCGCCCAGGTTGCTTGCAAGGGCTGACGGGTCGGCAGCGACACTCGGGAGTGCCACCACAACTATAGGGCGGCGCCCCCCCGCCTTGATACACCCCTTGGCGTTGTTGTAGGTGGTCCCACAGCGGGGTTCAGGCGTGCCTGGGAAGATGCTCGGAAGCTGCCTACAGCTCGTCCGGGAGCGAGCCGGTGTCGACGGCGCCGCCGCGGGCGCCGCTCGCCGGCGTCCCGCGCACGTCGCCGCCGCCGTCGCCGGCGCTCCCTTCAAAGTCTCCGCCGCTGTCGCCTGCGGACGGCGGCCCCTCGCCGCCGCCCGGCACGCACACGCCGGCGCCGGCGCCGGCGCTGCTGTGGAGACTGCCCTCTGGCTGGGGTCCGCCTTCGGGGCTAAGGAAGCTGCTCAGCAGCGGGTACTGCTCAGCGCCGGCGCCACGCATCAGCTCGAGCTGCGGGACCACATGTTTGGGTCCAGGGGAAGAGGGGAGGGAGGGCCGACAGAGAGCGCGCGTCAGCATATGTTCTTTCTTCTTTTTTTTCATACGACGACGTGGTATGAGGGCTCCCACGTGCGACCGCGGAGGCGGCCGGCCGCGCTTCAGCGGTCAAAGCATGCACTCTGAAGCGTGCAGGCAGGGGGTAGCGCGGGGCGGCGAGCGTTCCATGAACAACCGACGAGCCTTAGCAGGCGTGCGCTTCCCACACCCACCCTCTGGAGACAGTTCAGCATGGAGGGATGGCCGGCCGCGCCGCCGGCGCCCATGCCCGACAGGTCGCCAAAGCCGTAAGGCCCGCCCAGCCCGCCAGGCCCGCCGAGGGCACCGCCGGCCCCGAGCTGGGGATCAAAGCCGAGCCCCGCCAGCGGCGCGGCACCGGGCAGGGCGGATGCGAACGGGGACGACAGCGGCTCGGGCGCCCTGCGCTGCGGCGGCGGCTCGCCCCACGCCGGAGGCGCAGCCGCGCCGAACGGCGGCGGCGCGGGCGCAGCGGCGTCAGGGCCGCCGTACAGGAGGCCGCCTAAGCCCTGGGACGCCGCGGCCAAGTCGAACAGCCCGCCCGGCGCGCCGGACGCCGCGTGCGGCTGCAGCTGCGGCAGAGACGGAAAGGCGCCGCCGGGGAGCGCGCCGGCGCCGCTGGCGAACCCGGCGGTCGTGATAGCGTCCGCGAGCTGCCTGCGCTGCTGCTCCTCGAGCAGCTGCGCCTGGCGCCGCGAGAAGAACGCCGCGCCGCCGCCGCCGCCGCTCCCGCCGCGGCCCGCTGCTGCGCCGCCGTAAGCGAGGCTGCCCGGCGTCCCATCCGCGGAGAAGCCGCGGGCAGACACCGCCCCAAAAAGCTCCTGCGCGGGCCCGAAGGCGCCGACCGCGGGTGGGAAGGCCGCGGCGGGCGACGCCGCGGCGCCGAGCGGGCCCGCGGCGCCGCCGAGGCCGAAGGCCCGCGGGGCGGCGGCGCCCCAAGGGAGCGGGCTGGCGTAGGACGAGGGGAGGGGCGGGCCGGGGGACAGCAGGCCGCCGAGCGCGCCAGGCAGCGACAGCCCGTGCGCGCCCGCGGCGGCGGCGGCGGCCGCGGCGGTCGCGGGGCTGAAGAACCCGGCGGCGGCGGCGGCGGCCGCGCCCTGCGGCCGCTGCGGCG